GAGTGGCTCATCAGCCGTTTTGAGGAAAAATCATTTTTCAGTTTGGCACTGCTGCGCTCTGGGAGCGCGACGCAGCGAGTGGCCACGTGCGCCACGTGTGCACGTGCAGCAGCAGCGATTGAACTGGGGTTCCACAGGAGTTTTCCAGAGGGAGCTGGCAGACCCATCGGGACTGTATCAGTCCAGTCCACCCAAAGCTGAATCATGACCAATGGAATCGTCTCATCCATATGATTCTAAAGGCTGAGTTATGGTTACGCTCTGGAGCGCGCACCCTTGCCGGCAGTGGAGGTGTTTCATACGTTGCGTTTACGTTGTTGTAGATTCCTCCAAAATGACACGTGGAAGTACACTTTACAACTTGTGAAAATGCTGTAAGTAGGAGAGCAAAAGCTTGACAGACAGACAGACTGCACACAAAGGCTGCTGCACGCAGCGTTTGTGGGGACTCTCCAACATCACGTCACATCATGTGAACTCTACTGAGACGCAGAGACTCGTTTCTTCATATCAGCTATGAAATAAACAAAGACCAATGTTCTACCAAACATTTAAGTTCCTCTGTGTTTACAGTCATTATGGTAATAAAGTTAATATTTTCAGACTCAGAATGAATGGATGAGCCGGTTGCACACCATGGCAGCATGCACACACACACCGACACAAAATCGCTTGTTCTTTGCGTGATAAACATATTTTATTCCTATTTTTACTTAGGTTTTTTTTTCACACTCACATAATATTTAATTCATTATTTTTATGACTTTAGAAATCATTTCTGATCACGCAGGGATCACTCAAACATGTCCTTCACACATGCAGGAAGTAATTTGCATCTGTTTAACATATGTTAATGAAGGCGTGTCAGGGGAGGTGCCTCACGTGCGTTCAGTTTCACGTTAATTGTGATGTACAAAAGAAATGTGTGTGGATTCAGGCGTACGCACAGTTTGATACATCTGGATTTTTTTGTGCGTACGCCGTTTTCTGGATTTGACCGTACGTCAGGTTTCAGTGAGAAATCCACGCAAGTCTTTGTACCTGAGGCCCCAGCTCAATAACATGTTTAAGTACCTGCAGCATCAGACACTGGACATAAGTCAATGTGTTTTCATGAGAGTTTTAAAAAATAAAGCTCTCTTGTGAAAGTGTAGCCCTGTAAAGATCAAATGTATAACATTTCTATTGAAGTTCATAGGTCTGATGTAGTGGTTGCTGATAGTCCTGCGAGGAATTCTGAGTAAAGTTCATAAAAAATAAAAAGTTCATAGAATTAAAACTGAGAGAAGTTAAGACTCTAATCCAGAAAAAAAACTTGAGAATCATTCGGAACTGGAATCGTTCAAATCCAAACGATGCCCAAACCTAGCTCCATTTTTGTCCAATTATCCTGGAAGTAACTTTAACCTTTACCTTCCTACCTGAGTCCTGTAGAGTCTGAGATGGAGCTGTTGGTTTTTATTTTTATTTATTTATTTATTTTTTAAATTTTGAAATCATTCGGAACTGGAATCGTTCAAATCCAAACGA